CTGGGCAGCAATGCTAGGGTGTTTGCAGTGACAGGGATTCATGGAAGGACCGGATCCCAGGACTGTCCCAAACCCTCCCCAGGGAGGCCTTGTGAGCGCCCAGCGAAGGGGCAGCCGCAGCCGCCTCATCCCTGCCCGTGTCCGAGCGGTCCCCGCTGCCACCCCAGCCCATCCTGGCGGGGCAGGTGGGTGGGAGCAGCTCCCTGCGGCCCCATGGATCCACTGCCCGCCCTGCGGGGCCCTCATCCCTGTGCTCCAAGCTCTGCCCAGCCGCTCCCACCAGCAGGGCCCGGAGAAGCTCTGTGCAGCACCAGGAGCGGCCTGTCGGCACAGGCGGCTCCCACTCCGCACGGGAGCCAGCTCCTCCCGTTGGGAGCCCTGTGCTAAAGCGGGATGAGAGGTCTTAACGCCCCCTTGGAACACAGAGGGCGACTCTGTGAAATTTAGTTTTCCAAGAGGGGGAAATCCGCCCTCTCAGCTKCATTATGTACATGGAAACCCACTGCATGGCTGGGACCGGCAAGCAGCGGGAATGGAGAAAAGCAATGAATGCAGAATGCACAGGATGCTCTGCAAGGAGAGCAGCAAAATCCTGACRGTGTTCTTCCAGTGACACTGACACTCTCGGAAAAGGGAGGGAAAGGGACACACGTTTGACGCCGTCACTTCCCACCTTTAGGGCTGCCTTGGAAGGGGGCGGCTTCTCGCTGCTCTTCCTTCACAGCCCGTGTCTCAAGGCACCGGCTATGGGCACAGGAGCCCTCGGCAGCACCCGGGCCACACGGACCCATCTGCAGCCGCCCCTCCCCTCTGCCCCACAGCCTCTGGGCTTCCAGCATCGCGTCGCTCTTTCCCACGTGCCCCCAGCTGCTTCGGCACCCCGGGTTGTTTATTGAACAGAAACCATCACTCTGTTTTGGACGATTCCACAGCAAGGATTGCACGGCAGCCGTTTATCCCGGGGTGCATCTTGTYGGTAATAAAACCAGCCCGGAGGCGGTGGCTGCACTGACCCGGGCACATATTTACTGTCGTCTGTGTGTGCAGCTGCGTGGGCTGTCCACRCACCTGAGGTGAAAGGCAGGGTCCTTCACGGGGCTTTCCTAGCAATGGAAGCAGAGCCAGGGCACACAACTGCTGCTTCACCGACCAACAGCGGGCTGGTTTTGAGACCCGGGTCAATGTATTTAGGCAAAGATGCACTGGCAATTTTTCTTTAAGCTAGGAGACAGTTCTGCTGCTGCTAAAATAATCAAGGGAAATGCAAAATGGGGACTAAAATCGTTACGAAGAAAGAGACTCGATTCTCCCCCAGGGCTGTGAACTCACAGGAGGGAGAGGCCGCCGGCTCAGCTGCCATTAGAAACAGACCTAAAAGACAGCAAATATTGAAACTGGTTGAGTATTTGCCCGGTACTAAAAAGCAGCGCAGGGAGAAAGTACAGGAAAATATTGACTCTTTTTCTGACAAAGACAGCCCTTTTCTTCAAGCAGCGAACCTGACACATAACAGCCCTTACCACTTCAGCCTTCCCCTTTCAAGTCTGCCATAACAAACCCGGCTGCTGAGGTAATTCCAGAGTTTCCAGACTCAAGAGCTATTCACTTTCTAAAAAAAATAAAAAAATACAAAAATCATTTAACCACTGGAAGACCAGGAAAACCCTTAAAAAGCCCTCAAATGACTTAGAAAGTGAAGAGCTGTAAGACCCTTGGCTCACCAAACACTCCTGCTCCCTGTGTTTAACAGCAAGGCAGGTTTGTGAAATTGTTTTGACCCCTGCCACTTTGTATACTTGAAAACACAAAACTACCCGCTTCTGAAAACACACAAAAATACCTTCTTCTGGTATAGCTGAAGTTTTCTTTCTGGCTTTTAAGCAAAGATCTCTACTTAAAGGAACTCCCATGCTCTAAGCAATAGAAAATTAATAGCATGATCCCAGCCCAAACCCTGCTTGGAAGCTCTGCTTCCTGCAAGCAAGCTCCAGGAAACTCCTTGGAGTAACTGTTTGCACGTGAGTTCTCACTGCCTCCCCTGTGTGACTTCCAAGCATCCCTCACCCTGAACCAACTCCAAGAGCAGGCTGGTTTGGGAGACGACGGCTCGCCCAGCGTTTCAGGGYGTCTGATGGGTTTTTGTGTGTCAGTGAATAAAAGGCAGCGAGGTTCACGTGAGGAGCAGAGCGTGGCCCCTGCGATGCAGGTGGTGAGCGGCTGGATACATGTTTCCTCACGTTCTTCTGCAGAAGAGCTCTAAGCTGAGCACAAGCGGGGCTGGCGCTGCCTCGGGGCTCTCCGCAGCTCCTCTGTGGCTGGGAATAGGCCGGGCAGGGACAGGGAACGGCCCTCACAGCAGCTGAGGGCCACCTGGCCGCGAAGGACGTGGCCGATAAGCTACATGAACTGAAACTCCCCCAAATGGAGGCCGCAGAGGTTACCACAGCAAGGCAAGGCCGCCCGCGGGCGGGCGATGCGGCCTGCGCGTTAGCTCCGAGGCCGCCGCGCCGGGCCCTGCGCTGCCCAGAGCTCCGTGCTGCCGCTTCCAGCGCACTCGGAGGGCGCTCCCTGTGCCGGAATAGTTCACCYGGGGCCGTTGGAAGGGAAAGTAGGGCAGCCCTCCCTCTGCCTGGCGGGCGGCCGACGGGAGCAACCAGACACCTGTGAAAGCCGAGGCCCAACTTTCCGCCGGGGCCGGAACCCGCCGGCCAGCTGGGGCTTTCCACAGGGAAAGGCTCCCGCCTCTCCCGTCTCCGGCCTCACTGAGTAGGGGRGCTGTGAGAGTGAAACTGTAGGTGACACCCTGGTCTGAGAGCTGGTACCTCCAGTTAGGCTGTGCCGTGCTGGGGTGTCACCGGAGCRTTTTCCACAGGCGCTCCCACACTCCTGGGAGCAGCTTCCTTGTGAGGGCAGCGCTCTGCTAGCCCTCTTGCTGCCCCTGCACTCGGCGCTGCCCTAAGGCACCACAGATCCCCTTCTATCCCTCAGCCAAGCGCTCAGGGACAGAGCATYCCACCAGAGTGCCCCCCTTCCAGAAGCCCCCTTCCTAGCACACACACAAACACAATCCATCTTGGTGGCCAAAGGGAGTTTAGTGCCAAGGATTAGCTGGATTACTCACTAGGCAGCAGGGAGCGGGTGTTATTTCCCACCTCTGCACCTTGAGACGGTCCTAAAAATCACAGCCAGGTCTCAAGCCCCTCCTGGGCCTGCACCTGATGGAGCCAGAGGAGGGAGGCTGCCGGCTGCACCCCGCGCCTGCGCTGAGGACAGTGCAAAGGGTCTGCCCCGATGCCCAGAAATGCCCTTTGTTTGGCTGGGCAAGGGCAAGAGCAAAGGCAAGGGAAAGGGAAAGGCAAGGGCAAGGCGAAAGCAAGTCACTGCTAGTCAGTCCAAACTGCTCATCTTAACAGATGCAACACCCAGGGCTGCRCCTGGGCCCCGTTCCAGCTGAGAGAGGGTGAAGCAGCCCCATGGACACRCTCTGCAAGACAGGGCCCTTCCTGTCCTGCAACGGCAGCACCAACTGGGAAAAAATAGAGAGCGGGAAGAGAGAGAAGCACTAACCCAAACTGGTCTTCAAGGGTGGGCCAGACTTCACCATTTCACAGTAAATAGCACAGCAGGTCTATCACCGAGCCCTGAAGGACAGCTCTGAGAACTGCAGGTGCTCCACATAAGCTGGAGTTTGGCTGCTTGGCACGAAGTTCAATCATCCCCCCGGCTACAGTCACCTGCAGGGAAGGATGGCTCGTTGGGCCATGGTGGGTGCTCATCTGATGCCCCTTTCTGGTATGTAACTGCCACTGCTCAACTAATTGACTGTAGTTTCCTCAAGAATGTTATTCTGTCCACTGTCCATCAGAACTGACTTTTTTTTAGCATGGACACAAGAGTATTTAACTAGTGTTCCACAAAACACATGCTGAGAAGGGCAAGTCAGACCCCATATTGCATCTGAGACTCAAAACCAAGAGTTTCTTCTTAAATAAAATCTTGGTAGCTGTATATGAGGGTCTGCATAGCACTGGTACAGAACAAGGATTGTGGGTACTTATCTACCATATATGTAACATGCTGTAGGAGAGGATTTCTCCAGCTACAAAGCACGGAGCTTCAAAATGGGAAATCATCTGCCTTTCTGCTTTCCTCAACAAGAGAAAATAGGGGCCAAACTCTCCCCATCCTCTTTGCTCAGATAAGCTGCTACAGTTCATGTGAGCAAATCTGTTTATCCCAATGACTGGACTCATTTGAGTGGAGGTTTTGGAGCTGGACTCCAAATCCCCGTATAACAAAGGCCTTGGTCACGATCTCAAGTTTGTTCCCAGGGCTCTAAATAAGCACCGTTATGAAATGGACTTGTGCTGGGCAAACACCCTGGAAAGGAGCAGCCAGGCTGAACACTGAGTTGTGGGGATGAACCAGGGGGAGCTCAGGCAAATGTCTGCGTGCAGGGAGATTTTTCCAAAGTGATTTCTGCAAGCAAGGACAGGGACAGACTTCCCTAGCATTCACACTTCCAGCATCCAGGCCTTTCCAAAGCTAATCCACTATTCAGACTCCGATACAGCAGACAGGCCCCTGCACGTCACACTGACACATAATCCAGGCCCAAAGTCACTAYGGTAGCTTAGTTTAGCTTAGGTTGTTCCAGTTTTCTGTTGTGTTGGAAATGGGCTGCCAGCCTCCATGCCTGGCCTGTGCTTGAAGAGCTGGTGCCATCCTAAGCCGGATCGGTATCGGAGTCCTGGACATTAACTAGGAGGCTGGAGCTGGCTGTTTTGAATAGAGCTTGTTCTTTTCTTTTCCTAAAGAATTAAAAAGAGAGAGAGAGAGAGAGAGAGAGAGAGACTGCCTAAGAATTGGTATTAGTAATTTGATATTCTTGAGGGAGTTTGATGAAAGGTGCTTGTTGGAAAACACTTGGTAGACTGAAGGAATGTTCCCAGCAGGCAGGCAGGCAGGCCTCGGGCTTCCTAATTGTGCATAGCATGATCTGAGTTTATAGACGTGGCAGCTACTTGTACTTTTACTGAAGAATCTTTCAAAATGAGCCAGAAAAGAATCTCTGGAGAGCAGAGAAAGGCACATAAAAGGAAACCYATCAGTTTGGATAACATGCCACATTCTTGGGCATACAGGTAGATACAGTTTGATACAGCTGGAAGTCTCAAGCCTACAAACTCTGGGAATCCAGAAAAAAACCAAAAATGTCTTCTATCCTTTTACAGGAAAACCGTTGATTGGAGAAAAACATGCACAGGAAGTCATCTGAGGGAGGGAAGAGGGAGACCATGTAACAGGACTTGTGTCCAGGCTTTTGGGAATCCGCCTCGCTGGCTAGTAGTGATGCTGGTACCCAGCTGCGGGGCTCGTGCCGTCCTCTATGTGCTTCAGGTGACAGGAGTGACAGAGCAAATGTTCATCCAGCGGGTAGCAGCGATGCCCGTCCTCATCGTTGAGCTCCATGCCGCAGTCCTGCAGAGACAGCCCAAACAAACTGCGGTAATACGGCCTTACCTTCCAGTGGCCAGTGAGGTCTGGCTCCCATCGGGATGTTCCTGTGACAAGGAGGGACAACACCTGGCCAGCAGAGCTCTTTAACTCTAATAATAATAATACTCGTACTTGTCACGAGAAGGAAAACACCTGTTATAGACATTTTGAAGGGCAACCCGATAGGAATTCAAGTAGTTTTAATTAGTAGGTTTTATCTCAYGGTGAGTTGCATCCCTGTGCATTTTAAATGTGTTCACGTTTTGCTTTCGGGTGGAATTTGAGCCGTGGGTCAGGGCCTCCTTTCACTGCGTTATGAGCACAGTGATGGGGGACGTCTACTTATTTTAACTCCCAGGGCAGAAATATGAAGGCTCTCTGGAAAACCCCACATAGAGATTAACTGAATGTCTGAAGATGGCATTTCTTGGGATCATCTTCTGCAGACATAACCTTCCCTCTTCCTGCCCACACAAATTTCCATGAGAATGAAGGAAACTGACACGGCACAGGATCACTCAACACCTTAGCATTTTACAACAATCTGATTTGGAAATCAGATACATTAACGGGATCCAGAGCTCAAGGTTTCTAAAAAGCAGCAATAGGACCTTACCAATTCACCACATTTCCTTCATTCACAAATAAACTGCCATGTTCTAAGAGCAGTAGTATTTTTTTTGCCCATAACGTTAAAGACAGTAAAAGAACAGGACAGTTTTTGTGCACTTTGGAAAAACATCTGTCCTCAAACTGGAGATTTCTCCAGCATTGCTAGCAGACAGCAGGGCTCTCACCATGCAAGCCCTGTACTGTTCAGCTACTGCACCRGGCAAGAGGAAATTTACTTAAATTTCCAAAATAACACTAGCTAGGGTTATTAAGTGCCCGTTCCCCTAGGGAGCTGCTGACCTACCTCGCAGTGGTAACATTCCACGTGGTAATCCTTGTCCATGGACACAACCCGAATGGTCTCGTCAGACCCCTGTGAACGTGCAAGCAGAGGAGAAATCACAAAGCCAGAGGATTACGGGAGGATCAGGCTCTGCGGATGCTTCCTGCACTAATGGGAATGTTGAACAAAGGCACTGGGGCTGCTGGCTGGAAACCACAAATAAATCCTGCCACCTGCAGTTATTTTTACAGTAAAGCTTCACCATCGACTGACTTCAAATATCCTCTTCCAGTTAAACAACAGAAATGTCACATCTATCCCAGATAAGTTGTTAACGAGGTAGCAATGTTGATGTATCAAGTTTCTCAGCATTTTAAATTGGTTTTGCCAAAGGTGCAGCTGCTGCAGGCACTAAAATGAGTCAGTGACAGAGGGGTCACTAAAGGTCCTTCCCGAGCATCACCAGCTTTTATTGCCATGAAGGAAACGTATTCCAACAAAACACTAAAAGCAGCATAACATGGCAGGAGATGAAGAAAAGCAGCCTGGCTTGAGGGGAATAAAGGACATTACCAAGCAAAGGAGGGGTCCCAGCCCCATCCTGGGGCCTGCAACCTGGACCAAGYTGTCCCCTCTCTGCTGGAGCAGGGGGTTGCACCAGATGGTCTCCAGAGGTCYCTTCCAACCTCAGCCATTCTGTGGTTCTGTGATTCTCTGCAAGCACTGGGACCTCTGTCTTGACACAGGGTCGACCTCGGGCACACGCTTGGCACCCATGGGGAGTAAGAAATACAAGGCTCTCACCTCGGAGGGTAGAATGGGGAGTCCACATGCTGCACATTTTGGAGCTAAAACTCTAGGAAAGAGGTGAGAAATGGACGGCAAGTTAGAAAGCAGCATTAGGGAAAAGCTCCTATGCTCTTAGTGATGAGATGAAAAGCTGCATCTATAAATAACACGCACAGGATGGCTTTTCATCCCCAAAACACAATTTTATTTTAGGATTCATTGAACACCATGACACGTATTTGTCTCCAATTAAACTTGGGGGGGGGGGAAATAAAGGAACAAGGGCATATACACAGGGACAGACAGATGTATATGAAGGATGACTCTGTAGGTCCCATGTTCCCTAAGGAAATTTGACTGGAAAAAATAATATTAAAAAAAAAAAAAAAGAAATGAAGAATATTCCAAAGCTACCTTGGTTTTTAAACCATCAGGGCAGCAGCTTTCTATTCACAAATGAATAATGCATTTGACCCATGACTAACTGCTGTTTACATATTCCTGTGACTGAAACAGTACTGACTACTGGTCAATAAGCCCAGACTTCTCTGAGTGGGTCCTGCACCAGTCTTGCAAACAGCTCTGTTGCTCTAAATCTAAAAAAAACCCCTGTTTTTCCTTTCTTTTTTTTTTCTTTTTTCTTTTCCCCAGGTAACTAAGGCTTAGCACAGATYGTCAGTCAGGCAAAAATAGTCTTCTAATTGAAGTTAAAGAAAAAGAAAATCACTGTAAAAATTTTTGGCCGTTGCTAAGCAAAAGTGACTTGGTGATTTAGAAGAGAGAACAGGGAGAAAATGAACAGGACTGTCCCTCCAAAAACCCCATTAAAAGAACTGACTGCTTCCCCTGTCCTGGGACCGGATCATGCTGAGAGAAAACAGTAAGACAGTGTGAGGCTCCTCATTTTTTTTTAATATAATAAAAATAATATAGGAAAATTAATAATTAGCAAATGAAATTGCAAGGAAATGCATATCCTTTCTGAACAATGCTGACACACAAATGGATTTAAAAATTTAGCACAATAAAGAACAATTCTAGAAGGTGCTCGAGCAACATTCCCAAAGTCTGCCTGCTCAGAAAGTGAGACAAGGAGCACAAGCCAAATGGACACTCAAATGTATGCAGCTGGTAACTACCAGATAAGAGCACAACCCTTTCATTTTATTTCAYAAAGACCAAGTGATTTTAAGTCAATTTATCAGTGGTTTAACTTAGAGCTAGATTTTGCATTTGGCACTGATTTCTAATAACATTCCTGACTCTTCAGAAGTCAAACAGCCCTGCAGCTTATGGAAAGGAGCCTGCATTGATTTCAGGGAGGATTCCCAGTCTTTACTTTTGAGCAGACTAATTTCTTACCTCATTGAACACTTCATGAGCACTATTGGACTATCTCAGTTTCCCTGTGAGACTGATGAACATTATCACCACTTTGCAGAGGGGATAGCAAAGGAGAAGCAGCCTCCTCACAGTTACACAGGAGGCTGCTGGCACGGCAAGGGGAGAYATGAGGGATGTCTAAGCTCCAGTGCCACCCTGCACCTCTGGCTTCTCCTCCTGTCCCTGCTTTGCTAATTCATACACCGTAATTATGGGGAAGGCTGAAGCAGAGGCTCGTCGACTGGATCCCCTCTGCTGTTTATTTGGTCCTTACTTGTGGTAGTCCCTGACACAGTAGATTTTGTTCTCGGCGTCTACAGTGAACGGCACGCCATCCAGACACTCGTTGCAGACCACGCATCGGAAGCAGCCTGGGTGGTAGGATTTCCCTAGAGCCTGCAGGATCTGCAAGAAGCCAAGAGACAGGACAAGAAGGCACGGGTGGGCATGAAAGGTGACAACAATACATTCTCAGTGTAGCATTACACTGTGTGGCACGGTTGTCAGTGGAGCTGAGCCCTTTTCCAGGCCCCTCATCTGAAGAATGAGTTAACAGGGAGACAAAGGGCAACTGGAATCAATGTGTAACACCTGGTTCCAAAGAGCAGAATTCTTAGCAGGGCTAAGAAAACAATTTACAGAGTCTCAGACAAGGTATCCAGCATTACAAAGAACAGAACTGACAGAATTTAAGGGAGAAAATAATTTGTGAAGCCAACGGGTGAGATTACTTAGCAGAATCAAACAGCAAGACGTAGCACCTCCACAAAACGAAATGCATCTTTACACTCTCCATGAGAGGCTGCAACAAATATTTTAGCTGGGTTTCCAAAACTTCTTAGATTCCTGGGAGCTTTGTGCACAGTAGCCTGGCTTTTTAATAACCTAGACAATGGCAATTGTATTGAACTCCACACCTGTAATTCACTGTTGGCTTTGGAGCACCTAGTAATGGGTGGAACTACATGGCCTGTTATCATTGCAATCAGACTTCTGAGTATGAAATAGCCCATCTGGTTATGTTATAAAGCATTAATATTGGAAAAGTTAAGATAATTAGAGGTAAGCATTTGAAAACCCAGAAGTTCATCACTTCTGTCCCTCAGCCATAGTTTTAGAGCATCAATATGGTCTAAAGACCATCAACATTTGGACCATCAACAAGCAATTGCCTCCTGCTGAATGAGCCACACCAGAATACTGCCTGATCTGGGAAAAAGGCCTGGATAATCCTTTGCTGGGATTGCACACGTGCCTGCTGTAGGCTCATAGGACTTGCCTGCTCTGGCAGGATTTCCACAGCCCTACTGAGCAGTTTCAAGGCCCTGGACACACCTGAGACTCCAATCACACACTCAGCCCAGTGCCTTCCAGCATGCACAAAAAACCAGCACCAAGGCAGCCGCTTCATTCGGGAGCCACACGGCAACTCACAGCATTCCTGCAGGGAAGACAAGCCCAGCAAGGGAGCACGAKCAACGAAGTACTGCAGGAATCCCTGCAAGGACCAACAGCCGCCTCAGCGGATTGTCCTTCTCCCATCAGGTAGACTCACATGAAAACACATGGCACCAGATACTAAGATATTTCGCTTTTGATGTATTTTTCTAAGAAGCTGGAGGATTTGGGTTTTTTCCTAATGCAATTATCACTTACCATGTCCATTATCAGGTGGCCACAAATGAAACACCTGTCAGCTGACTGCTGGAAACCAGAGTACTGCAAGGACAAGAAAGAACTGGCTTAACATTTCTCAAGTCTGGTAGAGCATAAATAACAGCACATTGGAGGGATTTCTTTTCTTTTCTTTCTTTCTTTCTTTCTTTCTTTCTTTCTTTCTTTCTTTCTTTCTTTCTTTCTTTCTTTCTTTCTTTCTTTCTTTCTTTCTTTCTTTCTTT